TTTCTCTTCTTCTCCTCCTCCTCCTCCCTCCTCCTCCTCCTTCTTCTTCTGTTGTTTATGGTACATTCCCATCTGCTTGCATACGTAATGTATACAGCATACATAATATATATAGTGAAACCTTTCCTCAGTGCCCATTTTTATGCCACTTCTTCCAGGAAAACACCTCAAATGAGCTCTTATACTGATGCCCACATCTTGCCACTTCCTAACCTCTCTGAACCCAAAGTCAGCCAGCCATTTGTTTCTACTATTCCAAAGCAGACACTCTCTACTTATCCGTTGGAATCCTAGCAGAAGCAAGCAGCATGTGTGAAGAGGGTGATTTGGGCAAATTTTCGTTAAAGGACTCTCTATAAGGAGGGAAGAGTGTAAGGAATCCAAGGGGAGAGTGCAGTAGTTGAAGTTGTGAACAATGGTGTGCCTGAAGGGACCAGAGGAGGGAGTAGCTGCTAGAGCCCAAGAGGGGGCCTCCTGACAGAAGGTGAGGTGTTCAGGAGGGTAGGGTGGGAGTACCCGGTGCCTGAGCACAGCACTGGTCCAAGGACTCCCCATGTTGGCCAGTGTGGGAATCCCCCAGGGCCTCCCAGGCTGCCTGGAACCTCCTCAGATACATCTCAGTCTGCGGCTCTTTCTGCCCCATTCTTGTGCCTCCTTCTCACAAGTGTCAGACCTCTATCGTGATCTGAAGGCGTTTCCTGATGACATTTTTCACAAATGTTATCACCAATGAGTCTCTTATGCTCTGTCTTGGCATCAGTGTACTGGATGGCCCAAACTGACATGGGCTTGTTAAGCTCAGAAGTCATTTAAAGTCTCATATTTGACCAGTGTGCATGTTTAAGCAATGGAAAGAAAACCAGTGTATTTTCTCAAAAATAAAAGATAGAAAAACAATAGCATTTTAGGTCTTGAAAAGACCAAATTCAGTTTAAAAACTGATGTTAGTGGAACAATTCATTTCCAAGTGACTAGAACATTTCCATTTCACCCTGTACTGACCCTCTGAAAACACCCATCATGCTGGTAATTACTTGTTTATTGTCTGCTTCTATGCCAGGTGTGAGCTTCAATAACAAAGATTATGGGAGGCTGATATAGGAGAACCTCAGGTTCCAGCCCAGCCTGGGGAACTAGCAACATAACAAGAACCTGTCTCAAAAAAAAAAAAAAAAAGAGCTAGGGATATAGCTTAGAGTAAAGGTACTGGATTCTACCCCAGCACTGAAAAGAAAAAGTAAAAAATGGGGATTTAGCTCAGTGATTCTGCTGCCTGCCTCGAAAGCACAAGGTCCCAAGTTCAATCCCCAGTACCAAAAAAAAAAAAAAAAAGTACAAAATACAATGGAATCATCATAGACCTAAATGTAAAAGCTAAAACTATAAAACTCCAAAGAGGGGGAAAAAATAGGAGTAAATCTCGTGATCTAACATTAGGCAATAATTTTTTTAAAAAAGGACACTGAAAGCAAGTTGCAAAAAACAAGTTAGACTCCATCAAAATTCAAAACTTGTGGGGCCGAGGATTTAGTTCAGTGGTTTCACCACCTGATGCATAAGCGCAAGGACCCGAGTTTGATCCCTGGTACCAAAAAAAAAAAAAAAAAATTAAAAACTTGTGTATTTCAAAGGATAATGTCAAGGAGGTAAAAAGAATGCCCATACTCTAGGAGAAATTTTACTTTATTTTATTTTATTTTATTTTTTGGTACCGGGGATCGAACTCGAGACCTTGCACTTGTGAGGCAGACAGCAGAAGCACTGAGCTAAATCCCCGGCCCTAGAAGAAAATATTTTAAAATGCTGTGTCTCATAAAATATTTGTATCTAGAGTATACCTTTAAAAATATGGCTAGTAAGTACATGAAATGGCTAGTGGTCAACATCATTAGGGAAATGCAAATCAACATCCCAAAGAGATCCACTTCACCTACCCAGTAGGATAGGTAAGATCAAAGACAGAAAATATGTACAGTATTTATGTCTCATGTACATTTTTTAAATTTTAAAATTTAATCTTGTTTTTCAAATTAGAAAAAAATCTATAATTTCCTTAAAAGGTTAAATATAAAATTACCTTATGACCAATAATTCATTGTTAGGTACATGCCCAAAAAGAATCAAACAGAAACTGTTCAAACAGAAACTTGTACTCAAATGTTCATAGCAGCATTATTCACAAAGCCAAAAGGAGGAAACAACCCAAATGGATAAGTAAGATGTTTATCCCAATAAGCGAATACTGTTTGGCCATAAAAAGGATTTTTTTTTTTTTTTTTGCAACCGGGGATCGAACTCGGGTCCTTGCACTTGCACAGGCAGGCGGCGAAACCACTGAGCTAAATCCCCAGCCCCCTGGCCATAAAAAGGAATGAAGTATGAATACATGCTACAAGAAGGATAAACCTCAAAAGCTTGTTTTAAGTGAAAGTCACAAAAGAACATGATTCTATTTACATGAAATGTCCAAAACAGGCAAATACTGAGAGGCAGAAAATGAGTGATTCCAGGGCTACCAGACTGCAAGGAGGGAATGGACAGTTATGGAGTCAGTGAAGGTTTCAAAGTGGTTACTCATCAGTGTATGACAGGCAAAGAGAAAACATTCCAGAGGCAACAGCAGACACAAAGACAGGGAAGGAGAGCATAATATAGCTTGATAGTATGAAGGGTGACTCCAGGGGACAAAGGGTTAGGGAACTAGAGCTGACCAAGCCAATTTGGGTAGGCAGAGCCAAATCCTAGTCATGGTAGCTTTCCGTGAGGGAAAAGAGAAACCCCTGAACAATGCTGAATGTCTTAGAAGTGTCATTCTAGTGTAAAATGGGAAGGTGATTTGGAGGGAAGTGAAACTTGTGATTTCCCAGAAAGGAAGAAAGTAACAATAGCTAACTAAATTTACAGAGCCCTAACTCTCTGCTGAGCACTTTGTTTAAATCATCTCACTTAATTGCTAATATCAATACCACAATTATCTCTATTTTATAGATGGAACCCACATGGCTTGTTCACTCACCTTCTTTAGGCAAATGTATTTCCTTGTGCTTCCCCTATTTCTTTTCCTTGATTTTTTCATTTTTTCCTGAGCTCTCAATTTAACATGCATTTCACCTTTGATATCTGCTTTACAGATTCCCTTCTCACACTACAATGAAAGTCTGTAAGAATAGGTTAGTTTCTATTTTCCCTTGGGGTCTGAATCCCCAGTGCCTGGTACATAGTATCCCACGTTATTGTTCAAATCTAAAATGGCCCCCTAAAGTTCAAGTGTTGAGAGCTTGGTCCCTAATTCAGCACTTTTTTTTTTTTTTGCTTGTTTTTGGTACTGGGAATCGAACTCAGGACCTTGTGCTTGCGATTGTGAGGCAGGTGGCTAAATCCCACGAGCTAAATCCCCTGCCCAAAGCAGCAGTTTTAGATGTGGGGCCTTTGATTGGTGACTGGATAACAAGGTCTCTAACCTTATCAATGGGTTAACCCTATTGATGGGTTTATAACTTCCTCAGTTACCTGGAGGCACTGAAAACTGTAAGAGGTGGGGAAGGAAGTAGATCATCAGAGATGTGCCATGGAAGGGTATATTTTCTTCTTGACTCTTTCTCTCTTTGCTTCCAGGCCACTGTTGGGTGAGCAGCTTTGCTCCACAAGCTCCCCACCATGATGTTCTGCCTTGCTACAGGCCCACAGCTATGGGGTAAACATCCATGGACTAAAACCTTAAAACCATGAGCCAAAATAAATCTTTCCTTCTTTATAAGTTTTTTCCTCAGGTATTTTGTCACAATGGAAAGTTAACACACCTAATACATATTATTTTTAATATATGAATATATAAATAAATAAGAAAATCCAGTCTTACAGAGTCTGAGTAAATTACAAAAAGTTGCACAATATTCACTCCCTACTTCCTTCCCCCCTTCCCTTTTGGTACTGAGGATTTAACCCAGGACCTTCACACTGAGCTACATCCCCAGTGAGAGGTGGAAAATTCTTCAGTCTGGGCTCAAACTTGTGATCTTCCTGTCTCAGGACTCCCACAGTGCTGAGATTACAGGCGTGCACCATGCTAGCCGACCTTCCTAAACCTTTACCAGAGATGTAACACTGTGGGCAAGAAGTAAATCCTGTCCTGGAGCTGTAGCAGTGGCGAGGGAAAAGATGGACAGATTGCCTGATTTAGTGATGGATTGGACTGTGGAAAGCTGCTTGATAAGGCTCAATCTAGGATGACTTTGGAGTCTAGATTGAGCAAATGGTGATGCAATTCGTCAGGGGAAAAATATAAAGGTCTCCTCGTTTGGGCGGATCGATAAAAGAGGAAGACATGTCTAATCCACAATCCTTTTTTACTGTCTGTCCAGATTACTAAAACTCATTGTTAACAATATGGAACAGGTAAACTCATTGATCCCACCGCCTTGAATCTGAGTTCCAGAGGAGTTTGGGGACGGAGATGGATAGAAAGCCTCCCTCCTTCACTCACCCTATGGTAAAAGTCCAAAGAAGTGTTTAAACTAACTCTAAAATTAATTTTTAAGTAGATGCTCAAACTAAAGGTTGGGCTGCCCCCTTGTGTGATCAGGCCATAGTCACATTTTCAGTTTTGAACGTTGCCATTCGTTTACACAATTGACCATCAGTGTGACTCAGACTGGCCAAGAGGGCCGGAAGGCACCGTTGCGCCGTATGCACCACAGCACGCGGCCTGATCCAGGCATTGGTTTCAGTCCGTTGGCGCTCGAGTCTCAAACGACTTGGAACCCTCGCTCGCCCCCACCCCATCCCCTTCAAACCCTAAAACCTGCCTGGAGCAGAGCAGAGTTGGTCGGGTCCAACCACGACCGCGGGCCTACGGCCTCCGGTCGCCAGGTGGCGCTGTGGGGTGGCTGCCGGGGCTCCCGCAGCACTTGAGAGCGCCGTCTCCTTGGTGCGCATGCTCGACTTCGCTGCGGGCTCACTTTTTTTTTTTTTTTTTTTTTTTTTTTTCCGGGTGGCCCCGGCGGCTGCGTACTGGCTGTGGGATGGGAAGTGAAGCCCCAGCGAACGGCTGCGGCGGGGCTGTGAGGAGCAGCAAGCGGTAGGCGGCGGCGGCGGGTCGGTGAGCAGCTGGAGAGAGCGGAGCCGGGGCAGAGCACCTGCAGGCACAGGCGGCGGCCCGCACCATGGCGATTCGCAAGAAGAGCACCAAGAGCCCCCCTGTCCTGAGCCACGAATTCGTCCTGCAGAATCACGCAGACATCGTCTCCTGTGTGGCGATGGTCTTCCTGCTGGGGCTTATGTTTGAGGTGAGCCCGCCCTGCCGGCCCCGCCCGTAGCCCGGCGGGCAGCCCCGGACCCGGGGACTCGGACGTGGCTCTCGGACCCCGGGTGGGGGTACGGCCGGGCCCCAGAGAACGGCCTGCCCTGCCCCGAGCCGGCGGGCTCCCCGAGGCCGGGCCGGACGATGCGAAACCCCGCGGGCCAGGCCGCCGGGCGAGGGTGGGTCCGCCGCTCGCCCCCTCCCCGGGCGCCGCGCCCCTCCCGCCGGCCGCGCGGCGCGCGCAGTTCCTGGTTCCCGCGAAGGGTTACGTGGCACCCGGCGAGGGGCGGGCGCGGGCGGCCCTAGCTGCAGAGATGGCCCCGCGTGGTGGGCGGACTCGGCGGGAGGGGGCGTCTGCCTTGCGCCGGCCCCAGGCCGCAGAGCCTTAGGGACAGGGTCCCCTTCCGGGACCGAGAGTGGGGATCGCGGGGCACCACCGGAGCCGGTCGTCCGCTGCCTACTTGGAGGGCGGTGACCGCGGGGCACGCGCGCACCGAGGGCTTTAATTCTTGCCTCATTACCAGCTACCGAACTTTTCTTCCTCTTTGCCTTGGTAAAGAAACAAGGGCAGATCCATAAATCGAGGTTCTGAAGAGCTGTGCCGAGGAGTCTTTCTTGAAGCAGGAGAGGATGAGAATGTCAGGAGTGTGTAAATTCTCTTCCCACATCTCTCGTATTTTGATGACTTATTTAACAGCTGTTGAATGTGGATAATAAACTTTGCAAGGTGAATGTGTAACATCCTACGTTTTTCTTTCCTTGCTCCCCCATATACACACCCATTCCTTTTCTTTCCTTTTTTTCTCTATAACCCCAGTGTCTCCTCAAATATACTGATTATTTATTGTTTTGTCTCCTCTTCCCTGGCATGTAACTTCAGTAAAGAGAAGAGATTTTTTTTCTTTATTTCTATTTTACTAGTAGATTTTACGACTACTAGTCTATTTCTAGTCTCTAAAACAGTGCTTTGAAACGTGAGTGAAACTAAGAATACTTGAGAAAAACCAAGGAATGAGAAACTCTCAGTGACCACAAGGTGAACAGACTTTTTTAAATGGAGCCCCTTTGGGGTTTTTTAAATGTTATTTTTAGATGATTTAATGTTTTACATTTTTTTTTCTCTTTTAGTGGGCTTTTTTGCATCTAGATACATAGGTTATATTTTTATTCATAGCAGTGTCATGTATGTTTGCATCCATGGCTAAGGAGGCAAAAGGTACAGTTGAAAGGCAAGTGGAAAGTGAATGTGTCATGAGCTTACTAGGTAACTGAAGGCTCAGTTTTCTGCTTACCAATCTCATAGCAGTTGAGAGGTTAGGTAATATAACTTGAAACCATCCGCCAGTTTAGAAAGTCTTGTATGAATGTATGTTATTAAAAATATAGGTTTGGATGTGTAGCTCAGTGGTAGAGTGCTTGTTTTAGCATGCATGCATAAAATATACTGTATATGTTTACAATGCTGAATTTGATATTTGTGCTTTCTACTTTGATCTTAAAAGTAATGTTTTCATGTGTGCAGTATACTGTATTCAACAGTTTTGTATAACCTGCTATAACCCATCTCCACGTGGTAAGAATCCCTGACTTTAAAAACATAATTTAGGGCCGGGGATTTAGCTCAGTGGATCCGGCGCCTGCCTCGCAACCTCAAGGTCCCGAGTTCAATCCCTGGTACCAAAAAAAAATAAAATAAAATAAAATAAAAACATAATTTAGGGGCCAAGGATTTAGCTCAGTGGTTTCACCGCCTGCTGCGCAAGTGCAAAGACCTAAGTTCGATTTCCAGTGCCAAAAACAAACCCCAAAAAACATAATTTAGGAGTACCATGATCTCGAAAGCATGTTTGCAGCACTTTGAATGAAATGAAATATAAATTACAAACTCTGACACTTAGAAATGCTATAACTTTCCTTCAAGGTAAACTATTTTACATTCTTAACCATATTTTCTAGGGAAGTTCACTGCCCATATTTTGCCTCTTCTGTTAATGATTTTTTAACAGTGAGTGGATTTTCATCTATTAACCACCTGGACACAACAGAAATACTAAATAGACATTTTGAAAGTCACTTCAAAAAGGAGTGTTAAAATGGAATACAGGCAAGCTCGAGGACCTGAGTTCGATCCCTGGTACCAAAAAAAAAAAAAAAGGAATACAGAATTTTGTACAAGTCATTCGTTTTTCTTACCATATGTTAAAAGTTTCAGGATTTGAAAGCATGTTATCCCCATATGTTTAAGTTGATGAGGTGAGTTTTGCTATATGACTTAAAATAATTGCTATTTAGTCTCAAATTTTAACATAATAATAGAACTACAGTGTTTTTACTAAAAGAACAGAGAAGTGGATTTTTTGCAGAGCTGTTGAGCGTTTTTTATAAGTGTTTTGAGGAAATGTCTGGATTTAGGGTGAAATCAGCAAAGTGAAGCATTGTAGATACAGCTGCAAAGTATGGATTCTGAAGACAAAGGGATTTATGTTCAAATTAGGACATCTCAGAACTTAAGTTGCTTTATCTGTAAAATGGGGCTTATAGGGTTGGTCAGAGAATTAAAGTTAGCTAATATGTAGAATGCCTAGTTCAGTGCTTAGCTTCAGAATGGTAGCTAGTAGTATTCCTTGGAAAATAGATAATAGCACTTTTTTGCAAGATTTTGTTTGTTTGGTTTTTCGTACCGGGGCTCGAACTTGGGACCTTGCGCTTGCGAGACAGGCATTCGCACCACTAAGCTAAATCCCCGGCCCTGACAGCATTTTTTTAATACATTTTATTTTATCCCATTCTCCTCAAGCCCCCTCCCCTCCCTGTGTAAAAACTCTGTTTCCATTTTTTCCTATTTTCACTTTTTTTCTTGTCCCTTCCTTTCTCCCTTCCTCCTCCCTTGTTCTCCTTCCCATTTGAACTTTCTTCCCATTTCCCAACATCCATTATAGATCTCAGTCCTTATTTCCACATTCAGTTTCTCACACCAGAGAAATAATGCGGTATTTAAACATGTGTAACCGATTTAGTTCACTTAAGAGTATGGTCTCAAGGTCCATCCATTTAGCTCTAAATGGATGACAGCATTTTTGTATGAGAAAAGGACTCAGTAGTTAGCATCTGAAGAGATTATATATACTGAAAAGATTGATAAAAGTAATCTATTTGGGGGAAATGTAAGAATTTGATTTCTGGAAACTTTGTATAATCAAATATTAAAAATTGCTCATGAATTTTGAAATCCTGGAGTTTTATGGTGAATATCAGTCCACATAATATAAACAATTAATGGCTTTATAATTGAGTTAGGAAAATTTGAATGATCAAAAAATGTGAGGAACTTTAGAAGCTTTCTGAAAGTGATATTGAAGAGGAGTCGAGAGTTAAGGGCTCACAAGAAAACTGTTTGCTTTGAGAAGGCAGTGACTTTCAAAATAGATGTTTAAAATCTATCAGTTGTTTGTGCCTTACAGTTTGGGGCATATTTACTACACAATGATCTTGGAACAATTTTATTGGTTTTTTTTTATTTCTAATAATGGTTTTGCCTTAATGCCAACATTTACTTGCCTTTTCTCTCTTTTTTGAAGAATTTAATTTTGTATAAGCTGGTGGAGAAGTGAAGTTTGATATTTAGGAATTGGCTTTATCTTTCTGGAATCCAACCCAACTAGTAATCACACCTTCCTCTAACAAATGCAAAATAGTTATCCTCTGTATACAGTAACAAGAAAAGACACCAAGCCCTAACAGGCAACCACTCAATTAAATAAACATAATATTTATGCCTTTGTATAAAATGTAGAACTGGATAATTCATTAGTTCGAGATAACCTACTTAAGATGGATCTGAATAAATCTCATTTTTTTCTTATAAATGAACTATGGTGTGTTATAAACTTTTTGTTTTTTAGTGCAGTATATCTATAGCATATTTATACTTCAAGCAAATTTATCTTACTATCAACTGATTGTAATATTAGTTTAATTAATGTTAGTAATGGTCAGGTATGAATGAAGATTAAGAAGCCTGGAAATGTCTAGCAGAATGACTTCTGGTTTAATTTTCCTATAAGTTTTTTTGGGGTTGTGTACTTTGTATTTTTCCTTCTCTCGTTGTGCTTAATAAAACATGTTAAACCAACTAGAGGCCACCTTTTAATTTTATTTGGAAGATTAGCATAAAGGGATAATCTAATTTTTGTTGCTTTGAGAATTTGATACTAAATTTCTCTTTGAAGAATTTCATTTATTGTTTGTAAAGGACTCTTCACAGTTTTCTTAGCTGTGGTAATTGTGACCTCATATTACAGACTAGAAACAAGGATGGGGGGATGTTTATATGAAGTCTAAAAAAAGATGTAAAAGTAAATGAAATTCACTAATCAGTCAACTTTATTAAAAATAATCACATGAAAGTTGTGTTACCCTTGAAACTTAGACCATCATTCTGTTGTAATGAATCCTTGTGAATGGCCCAGATTTTAATACAGTAGCTTTACTAGTCTTTTCTATTCAAGTTATCTTCATATCTACCCCTGACATTAGAGGTCATAACCTGAACTTTTTAAAATCATGCAGGCCTGATTTAGTTCCCAGATTCTGAACTTTAGGCTAGCAGAGATCAGCCATAACCTAGCATGTTGTTCACCTCCTCATTCTGCTCCTCACGTCAGCTCTCTAACTAGTCCAAGCTTTTATGATACCTTGGCCCCTTTCCTTTTCCTCCAGTGTGTTAGCCCCCCTCGTTGCTTTATTCTTTTTCCATAGACTTTACTTTGCTGTAGTATCCTCACTTTATCCACAAAGATATGCTCCAAAATCCTCAGTGAATACCTGAAACCACAAATAGTACCACCTCTTAGATACTGTTTTCCTACACAAACATACCTTTGATAAAGTTTAATAAATTAGGCACAGTAAGAGATGGACAGTAATGACTAGTAACAATATGCTATAATGAGGAATATAATATACTGTAATAAAAGTAATATGAGGCTGGGGATTTAGCTCAGTGGTGCCGCCATCTGCTTCGCAAGCGTAAGGTCCCAAGATCGATCCCCGGTACAAAAAAAGAAAAAAACTAGACCCTATCTCAAAACTAATATGAACATGGTCTTTCTCTTAGAATATCCTGTTATATTCTATTCTCCCTCCTTCTGATAGTATGAAATAACACACAAGCAAGGTGAATGACTCAGGCATTAGACTGCAGTGTAAAGGTTACATGAACACAAGCTCTGCTTCCACAGTTGTCTGATAACCAGAAAAGTTACTAATGGGCCAGTAGCAAATATAGCATGGATACACTGGACAAAGGTGATTTAAGGCCCGGGGTAGACGGACAGATAGTACAAAATTTCATCATGCTACTGAAAACAGCACATAATTTAAAACATCATTTATTTCTGGAATTTTCCATTTAATATTTTTAGAGTGCTATTGGCCATGTTACTGAAACCACAAGAGGTGAAATCATGGATAAGTGTAGGACTGTTTCTGCCTTTTTGTTCCTTTCAAATCATAGATCAATAGGGATTACTAGAAAAAGTCATATCTATCCTGATGGATATTACTACAAATCAGGTTTCTAACCTCAAGAATTAATAATATCCATTAATCTTTATACTTTTCCTAGCCAGGTCCTTTCCATAGAGGAATTATATAAATAGCCTTCATTCAGGTCCTGATTCTGCTTAACATGTGATGTTGTATCCCACACACAAGGAAAATGAGTTTATCAGATGTAGATTTCTTTGGTTTCCTGCCTTTTGAACATATCTCTCTTATCTGTCTCACCACCTACAGGTTGAGCATTTGTAATGCCAAGATCCAAAATTACTCAAAATCTAGAAATTTTTTTTTTTTTTGGTACCGGGGATCGAACTCGAGTCCTCGAGTCCTTGCGCTTGCGCAGCAGGCGGCGAAACTGCTGAGCTAAATCCCTGGCCCCTGAATGTTTCCTCTTAAGGCACTATTTTTTTGTTGGTTTATTTGTTTTTTGGTACCAGGGATTGAACTCAGGCACCACTGAGCTAAATCCCCTGCCCTTGAATGTTTCCTTAGACTGGGAAGAGGTTAATACAGGTTGAGTCTCCCTCATCTGAAATGCATGGCATCAGAAATACTTTGTATTTCAAAGTTTTTATGATTTTTGGAATATCCACATATACATAATGAGATTTCTTGGGAATGGGACTCAACTCTAAATTCATTTTTATCTTTCATATACAGCTTATACACATAGCCTGAAGATAATATATAGTTTTGGGTTTTTTTTGCAGTGCCAGGGATTGAACTCAGGATCTTGCGCTTGCAAGGCAGGGACAGTGCCACTGAGCTACATCCCTGACACTATATATAGTATTTTTAATGGGTCTGTGTTTTGACTGCAATCTTTCACATGAGGTACGTGTGGAATTTTCTACTTGTAATGTCACAGTGGTGTTCAGAAATTTCTAGATTTTGGGCCGGGGATTTAGCTCAGTGGTTTCACCGCCTGCTGCGCAAGCGCAAGGACCCGAGTTTGATCCCCGGTACCAAAAAAAAAATTTCTAGATTTTGAGTAATTTTGGATCTTGGCATTACAAATGCTCAACCTGTAGGTGGTGAGACAGATAAGAGAGATAAGTTCAACATAAATCTTGACCTTTCTAGTAGGTACTTTTTTGTGTATCTTACGTACTTCAGTCAAGTGCAGTCTGGTTGCTTTTCTCAGTACTTTGTTGGAATCACTCATACTATGACTGCTGATGAATAAGTAATCCAGTCTGTTGCTCTCTCCTGACACATCTGTTTTGAAACTATTAATCTGCACCTTTCTAAAATGTTTCCCCCTTGACTTTTGGGATACCACCCATCTTCATTCTCTTTCTGCCTCTGACCATTTCTTAGTTTAGGGGAACTATAGTAGTCAGCTTTGTGTTACTGCAACAAATACATACGGTAATCAGTTTATAAGAGAAAAAGTTGGGCCAAGGATTTAGCTCAGTGGTTTCAGCTGCCTGCCGAGCAAGCGCAAGGACCCAAGTTCAATCCCCTGTACCAAAAAAAAAAAAGAAAAGGTTTATTTTGGCTCACAGTTTTAGAGGTTTCAGTCTGTTTTCAGATGACCCCATTGCTTTTGGTCCTTTGGCAAAGCTCACATAATGATGGAGTACATGGTGGATCAAAAATTATTTACATCAAGGCAGCGAAGGAAGAGAGAGACATCAGTTTTTCACTATCCCTGTACAGGCCATACCCCCAATGACCAGAAGACCCCTACAGTGCCACCATGTCTTTAGGACATGGGCCATTAGGCAACACTTATCCAAACAATAGCAGAATATTAGTTTTTGGCTTTTTCTGTGCCCTCTCCACAAGTCTGATGTCCTACTTCTTTAAAATACACTTTCCATATATGACTTTTATACTTTTACAGCCTCAACATTTGTTTCTAAATAGAACTCCCAGATGTTTAAGTTCTCTGCTGAGTTCTAGACTTAGGCTTTAGCTGCCTGCTACTTTTTCTACCTTTGTGTCTCACAGGAATATAAGTTTGTCCAAAACTCAATTTCTTTTACTCAAAACTTGCTGTTCTTGCCTGTGATGTAGCTCAGTGGTGCTGTGCCTGCCTGGCAGTGCAAGGTCCTGAGTTTGATCCCCGGTACCAGGAAAAAAATTTAAAAACTTGTTATTCTTTTATTCCACATTTTTAGTAATAGTATTGCTTTTCACTTGTTCAAGCTGTGACCATCAATCAATAATCTTTAACTTTTTTTTTCTTGTTTAAGCCTTATACTCCCTCAAAAGTGCTTTTTCTATCCCACTACCACTTCTTTAGTTTAAACCTTAGTTATTTTTTACCTAGTCTCTTGCAGATGCCTTGTGCTTGGCTTCCATGATTACTCTAATTGGTTTTATCTGGTAGTCCATGGTATTGATCAGTTTCCTCACACACGCCAGGCCCAGTGCTAGCACTGAACATACAGTAGCAAGCAGGAATAAGCATATTTCCAGCACTTGTGGAGCACACTTTGTATAGAGTGAGACAGAAATTAATAGAATCGTAGCAGAGTATGTGTTTTGAAGGAAAGGAGCACAGTCCTCTGAAATAATCAGACATGATCTCAGAAGACTGGGAAGGCTTCCTTAACCTGTGATAGAACTGAGATCTAAGGAGAGAGGTTTTCCAGAAGTGCCAGGACTGGTGGGAGGAGCTGGAGGGGGCCAGGGAGGAGGTATTCAGAGATAACACTGTGGAGAAATAGGGGTGGAGTCAGGGAGCAGAGTTTTATAGGCCACGTGATCCTAGAAAGATAGGCATTTAGTGACAAGATTTTAACCAGATGGGGTGGAGGATGAAGTAACAGGGTTAGATCATTTTGGTTGCAGGGTGTTAACCACTTAGTAGGCTACAAGTAGCAGTCTTTAAAAGGCATAAAGGAACATCCCTTCCTTAAATTCCTTCAGTCATACTAAAGTAAAATCTAAACTACTTAATTCAAAAAACAAGGTGCTTTCTACCACTCAATAATATCTCTAGGCTTTTCTACAGTCCCTCCCTGATGTTATGTCTGGCCTTGTTTACTGCAGCTGTATCTTGTTTCTTCTACCTGTACTCCCCTCCTCACCCACCTTTTGAGCCTAGGGAATTTGTATTTTTCAGCAAGGCACAGCTCAGGTACCACCTCCTTTAAGAAGCCTTTTTAGGCCGGGGATTTAGCTCAGTGGTTTAGATATCTGCTGCACAAGCGCAAGGACCCGAGTTCGATCCCCGGTACCAAAAAAAAAAAAAAAAAAGTAACAAAAGAAGCCTTTTTAGGACCGGGTCAGGCGGGGGCAATATGGGATGAAGTTCCTTATTTATCCTGAATACTCACAGTGAATGGTATTGACACTGATTTTACAGTATTGTAACAATTTGCTTACCTGTCCTCCGGAGGCATTTGAGCTCCTTGTCATCAGGTATTAGGTCATTCATCATTGCTGTGGCCTTTCTTTCAGAGAATCTTTTTTTTTTTTTTTGGTCCTGGGGATCAAACTCAGGACCTTGTGATTACAAGGCAGGCGTGGTGCCACTGAGCTAAATCTCTGGCCCCCCTACTTTAGCCTTTCTTGTCTAGCATTGTGCCTGGTGCCTATAATTGTTTAGTAAGCATTTCATTTTTCTGTTCTGACTGCTTTTACCAATAGTCAAATCAATTAAACATTTATTGATCACTAAACTATGCCAAGTGTTTGGAAGATTAACCCATAGGCCCCGAGTTTGATCTATTTTTCTCATGCTGACTGTGCTTCCCCTTTTTTTAATTGATACCTAAAGTTTTTCTTGATAGGACCTTTATTTTCATTGTGAAGCTCTAGAGAATCATTATTTTTGAAATCTTGGGGATGAGTTACATAACCTCATCAAAATTGCAGAGGAATACTTGGGTGAATTACCATAACTCCCAGGCTCAACTTTGGTGACCAGGAATTCCCATTGTGCCTCTCAGTGTGCTCAGGAGCTAGGCTGTTCTTGGTTTTTAGACTTCGAGACAGAATTGGTTTTTGCCCCTGGTCTGCTTCTTTGGGGGAGAGTCAGAAATGGACTCCATCTTTTTTTCTTCTTTCTTTCTAGATAACAGCAAAGGCTTCTATCATTTTTGTTACTCTTCAATACAATGTTACCCTCCCTGCAACAGGTAAGTAATTTTCATAAAGAATTTTCTGTTTAACTAAAAGTTCAGTTGAACAAAGTTGAAGATACTCATTAAAACTAGACTCTGCATTAATCTTCACACATCTCATCTGTGAGTAGACGGAATATTATTTTGATTTTATACATCAAAAATCTGGTGATTTTGATCAACTATATTTTTGTGAATGGGCTTAAAATTCTATCAAAGAACTTTTTTATTGGCTTCTCTGCCTTCCCTTCCTATCTTGTCATAAGAAAATTCTAAAAGTTAGATATTTTAAATGTGGTTACTGTCACTGTTCAGACGCAGTGTTCAGGCTCAGTTTTTATGGACCTCCAAATTATATTTTGGATCTTGAATAATAATCCACTTAGGCTTATTTTATTTTCATTTTTTTTGTTGCTGTGCTCTGCCTTTATCAATTACATTGATTTGAGAGAATGTCAGTATACTCTAGAAATTATAAACTACACTTTTAGTTTTTATTCCAAAAAGTTTTATTTCTAAATTATGCTATGTAAAATCAAGTTGTTGTGGGAAGTTGATTTTAGTTAGATATAATACTACAATTAACTGGCATAAATGAGGACTGAGATATTTGGTTAATAAAATAGGAACCTATTCAGGCAGTAAACTGGCCCTGAAGTTTTCTATTTGGAATGTAAGATCAGATGTACAACATTGAGTTAGGTTTTTGTTCAGTTACATATAGTTTTGAGGTATTTGATTTAGTAACTTACATATCAAGTCACTCAAAACTGTAGTGTTTAGAAATTGGAATGTGCCAGAGAAGAATATAAAGCTTACCTAAATGGTTCTCATAAACATTAAGCTTGAGAACAAGTGTCAGCAATTCACAAGTATCTGGTTAAGATTTATTTTGAAAAATTAAAGCAATTGCAAAGGCTAAAAACAGTCCAGACTCAGTGACAAATACCTATAATCCCTATACTTTCGAAAGTTGAAGTAGGATATCAAGTTCAAATTCCACTTTTGCCACGCCCCGTGGCTGAAGGGTTCACAGAGTGAGAAAGGATGGTGGAAGATTAGGAAAGACAAAGAGAAGCTGATTTAACTGAGGCCAGATGGAAACCCTTTGTCCTGATGGGACAAAGGGGAATGGCTGGAATCCTCCTCAGCACCTTTATTTATAGTGTAGATAAGGAAAGCTCAGGAGGAGGTCAAAGGGGCTGCCTGATTGGAGCAGGGAGAACTGCTAGGGTCTGCAGGAGGTAACACTTGATGTTTCTTTGGCGTATGGGCAGGAAGGAAGATAGTCCTCGTCTCAGCCAGGCCTTGCTTGTCACCACACCCTCTTGTCACCTGTTCTCCCATGGGGCCCTGTTCTCCCATGGGGCCCTGCCTCATCCTCAGGAGGAAGTGAACAAGATGCAAGCATGTTTCTCTTCCACTCGAGGACCTGCCTCTTCCATGGGAGGAGGCAAGTTAGGCCTGGCCATAGTGATTTACAGTGCAGTGCTCCTAGCACACTTTGGCAATTTAGCAAAAAGCCAAAAATAAAAAAGGCTGGGAATGCAGTTCAGGTGTAGAGTGGCCCTGGGTTTGATCCCTAGTAAAAAAAAAAAAAAAATATATATATATATATATATATAGTAGTAGTTTCTTCTAATTGTACTTGTAAACCAAAACCAAATCAAAGGTCAAATCAGTTTCTTTGTCTAAATTATAATATAGTGTCCAGTTTGAAGGAGAGATGGAAAGTTTGAAAAGTTCTTTGAAAAAAACCAGGCAAATAGGCCAAGTATAACTTTATCAACATGAAATATTTGCCTGGGACAATATCAGTTTATTGAATGTGGCCTCCCTTCCCTTGTTTATTGGTCTTTGATGGATGTAACTAACATGTGTCAAGGTTTTGTAAGTAATCTCTGAAGCTTCCAGTTTTGAGATACTCTCCTTTCATTTTTCACTCCTTCCAAGACTCATCTAAGAGCTAATTAGCTATGATTGTCTGTAAAAGTTTACTAGGTTAGTGTTCTTTTGTTTTTATAACTATGTTGTACTAGTGCTGTTTTTATGATCTTATGTATATTTTTATGCATGTGTGTCCTTTTTGGCCTTCAGAAGAACAAGCTACAGAATCAGCATCCCTTTATTGCTATGATATCAAAGATTTGGCTACAGTTTTCTTCTACATGCTAGTGGCGATAATTATTCATGCCATAATTCAAGAGTATGTGTTGGATGTAAGTATGCAATCTTAGAAATCTATACTTTGTAAAGTACTAGCTCTCCATTCGAAGACAGTCATATATTAAGTATATTTTATAATTTATTCTTTATTACTAATAGCTGTTTTTATTTTTAGAAAATTAACAGAAGAATGCACTTCTCCAAAACGAAACATAGCAAGTTTAATGAATCTGGTCAGCTTAGTGCATTCTACCTTTTCGCTTGTGTTTGGGGTACATTCATTCTAATCTCTGTAAGTATGTCCCTCTTAATATTGTTATCCTTTCACGTCTAAAATTTAGGAACTCTGCCTAAAGGACTAGTATAAATTAAGAGTGTCAGTGATAAATTTCTCTTTCAGTTTTTATATAGCAAATATTCTGAGCTTTTCACTGTTTCAGAACACCTTACACATTTCTAGTCATTATAGATATTTTTATATCTTGTAGTCATTTTCAGATGTCTGTATTAGCAAAAAATATGTTAGTGATGCTGTTAACAGGTTACACTGTAAAGTTTTTAGTTTTCTCCTCTAAGAATAGTCTAGTTGCTTTCCAAATGACATAAAAGGAATAATTTTGAGCCCAATGCAATCAAAACCTCTAGTTTTATCACTAGTGAAAAGGAAGGCAGTATCAACTTTAATATTGTAATAAAACCCTTAAATTTATATTGTATCCTATAGTTTATATACTTTAAAATTTGTTGAATACAGTTTTGTTTTGGTTTGTTTTTTACCGTGTTAGAGATACACAGCTGACAGGGTAAATTTTCTAGAATATAACTCTTAATGTTGGAGATAGATTAAAATTGAACTTTTCAATTCAATGCTCACAGCATTTTACTCAGCTATTTTAATACTTAATAGACATATGTAAACTTTACATCTAAAATTATTTTATAATCTAGTGCAGTGGGACATGGCTGTAATCCCAGATACGTGGGAAGCTAAGGTAGGAAGATTGAGAGTTCAATCCTAGCTTGGGGAATATAGCATTATAATCTCTCTTACAAATTTTTTTAAAAACATAAAAGAGTTAGAATTCTGTGGAAAACTGGAGACAATGTAGAGAAACCAGGCAGGCTGGAATACTAAGCCCTGGTTCCCAAAGAGTTCCTTTTCAAACACAACTGGTACTGGATATCAAGCAACCCAGAAGGTTGGACACTAAGAAAACATCCAAGTATTATGCTGAGTATGTTGAAAAGAAGTACAAACACCAAAACATAACCAAACCAAAGGCCACATCACAGGGAGATCAGACCTAACTAAAAGGATCTCCACAGTAGTGTCAGAGTTTCTCTAATCTTTAACCCACAGAACAAAAGCAGTAGAAGCATGAGAAAGCAAGGCAACAATATGTCCCCCAAAACCCTTAACTTCCCAAAAGCCGATCTCATGGACCCTAAAGTAAAAGAAGCTATAGAAAAAGAACTCAAAACCCACATGGCCAAAATATTTGAAGAAATAAAAGAAGAAACATATAACCAAATGCATAAGATGTTCAAAGAGGATTTAACTAAACAGGTATTTTTACCAGTAAAATGTTTTGACAGGTTTAAAGAAGAAGCAAACAATAGATTGAGTTAAGCAAGACAATATAAAACATGAAAGGGGGCCAGGGATCTAGCTCAGTGGTTCCGGTGCCTGCCTTGCAACCACAAGGCCCTGAGTTCCTGAGTTCAATTCCCGGTTCCAAAAAAAAAAAACAAAACATGAAAGAGGACGTCAGAAAAGAATTAGAATGTATGAAAAGAAAAGGATTGATAATAAATTCAATGGAAAGCATGGGTAGCCGACTTGAGCACTGTGAGGACAGTGTTAGAAATAGAAGATGTAGTAGATCATAAATTGATACCCTAAAAACAAGACACCATGTAAGCTGGATCCAACAGCTGCTAGATGACTCAAGAAAAAAAAAAAACCACTCGGAATTATAGGAATAAAGGAAAAATTAGAAGATGACTCAAAGGTATAAAAAATTTATTCACTGAAATCATAGCAGAAAATTTTCCAAATCTAAGGAAAGAATTCAATGTTCAGGAGCCATATAGAACCCTAAATAGCAACGACCAGAAAAGAGCCTCTCCATGACACATCATAATGAGAATTCCAGAAATTCAGCAAAAGGAGAGAGTACTAAAAGCTGTTAGAGAAGAATAGCAAGTAACCTATAAAGGCAAGCCCATCAGAATATTAGATATCTCAGCACAAACCTTAAAGGCCAGGAGAACCTGGAGCAGTTTTTCAGGCCCTGAAAGAATGCAATTGTCAACCCAGGCTTTTATATCCTGCAAAATTAGCCTTCAAAATTGATGGAGAAGTAATGGAATCCTTGAGCCCAAAGGAAAGTGTACATCTAACTTGAAGAGGTTTTTTTTTTTGGAGGTGTACCAGGGATCGAACTCAGGTCCTTGTGCTTATAAGGCAGGCATGGTGCCACTGAGCTAAATCCTTGGCCCAGGAGAATATTTAAATAAAAGAAAATAAGTATCAGCCCTGGGAAGATAATACAATAACAGAAGTCAATAAACTCCTTAATTTTTTTTTTTTTTGGTACCGGGGATCGAACTGGAAAACTCCTTAATGTTAATGATCTCAACTCCTCAATCAAAAGACACAGGCTGGCAGATCCAATAAAAAAAAATTAAAAAAAAAAAGCAATAAAAACTTGCCCACAAGAGACATACCTCTTCCAAAAGGAAGTAAACAGACTGAAAGTAAAAGCATGGAAAATTCCATTCAGCTGGACAGATAGACATGAATACAGTCACAGTCTTCAATACTGCACTGTCACAATTAGGTCAGCCAGACAGAAATCAACAAACTGTCAGAGCTAAATGGACTTAACAGATATCTACAGTATTTCATCCAACAAAACCAATACACATTTTTCTCAACAGCACATGGAACTTTTCCATGGTAGACCATACCTTAGCCCATAAAGCATGCTTAAATAAATACAAAAGAATTGAAGTACTATAATGCACTGCATTCTATTGGATCATACTGGAATGAAGCAATAAATGGACAGCAAAAGAAGCCACAGGAATTATATAAACACATGGACTTTAAATAATACGTTACTGAATATATTGGTAGATGACAGAAGAAATCAGGGAAGAAATAGTTTCTGGAATCAAATGACAATGGAACCGTTAAGTACCAAAACCTATGGGACACGGTGAAAGCAGTTGTGAGAGGGAACGTTACAGCTGTAATGCACACATGCAAAGAATAGAGTGATCCCAAGTAAATAACCTAATGATGCGCCTCAAGGACCTAGAAAGAACAATGAAGATCTGAAACTATTAGAAGAAATCATAAGACTTAGAACAGAAAAGAATGAGATCGAGACTAAAAAAAAAAAACAATGTGAAGAATCAGTGAATTGAAGAGTTGGTTCTTTGAAAGGATAGGAGGGCCGGGGATTTAGCTCAGTGGTTTCGTCACCTGCTGCGCAAGTGCAAGGGCCCAAGTTGGATCCCCAGTACCAAAAAATAAATAAATAATGAAAGGATAGGAAGGGGATAAAGAAGATGGGAGGAAGGGAAGGGAAGTTAAAAAGGATCAACATGCTGTATGACTATATACCAGTTCCCCCGTAATAAATGTATTTACTGTGTATCACAGTAGTATACTAATACAAAATTGAAAAAATTCTATGGGAAAATTTTCTTGTTAAAGATAAGTCACTAGGGTTTTTGTTTTTTGTGGGGGTTTTTTACATAATGATTTTCCTTGAATACATCTAGTTACCTAAGACAGATTTGGGTAGTATTTTTTTTTTTTTGGTACTGAGGATCGAACTAGGGACCTGCGCTTGCAAGGCAGGCGGTGGAACCACTGAGCTAAATCCGTGGCCTTGGGTAGTATTTTATGGTCATAATCCCATAAAATTTTAGCAGTATTATGATCCTCTCTCCTATCAGGAGCTTTAATTTTTCCTGAAATCCTTCTCTAATTACCCAAGAGAAAAACCCCTCTCATAGCTGTTGTACTTCCATTACATACCACTACTATTGATTGCTTATGTTTGTGTACATGTGGTGTTTACTCTACTGGATTGAAAGACATTTGAAAGTCAGAAATTAGGTCTTACTTGACTTTGTATTTTTCACATTGATTTTCACTTTGCTGAAATAATCAATTTAAATTGTATTGAAAATAAACTAAAAAGGCTTAAGTGGGCTGTTTGAAACCTGCTATAGGGAGGTATAAATCTTTGTATGATACTCATAGGCTAATAATCATGTCTTCTCTCTTAGGAAAACTACATCTCAGACCCTACAATCTTGTGGAGGGCTTATCCCCATAACCTCATGACGTAAGTGATTTTTAACAGGCCTTTCTTAATTAATAAGACCACGATCCTATTATAAGTAAGCAGAACTCATTCTTCTCCTTAGGAGGTTAAACAGTTCATAAAATAGGTGCAAAAGTTATGTCTTGGCAGTCTCTCTGCCAATAAGAAAAATGTTGCTGTGTACTTTGTGTATATTTTCAACATCTTTGTTAGCTTGAAAGAACTGATTTTAACAGTAATCTTAATTTTGGTATGCTCTCTTCTGGAGTGAGGTGGAATCTCAGCATTTTCATTTGCATCTCTCGAATGACCAGTGATGTTGAACATTTTTTCATGTATTTATTTGCTATTTTTACTTCTTTGGCTGAGGAATGTCTGTTCATTTCAGATGCCCAGTGTGCTCTCTTCCTTCTCAGACTTTCTTCTCTTCATGAGTCCATCTCCATACTTTTTTTTGGGGGGGGACCAGGGATCAAACTCGGGTCCTTGCGCTTGCACAGCAGGCGGCGAAACCACTGAGCTAAATCCGCGGCCCTCTCCATACTTTTGTTCCTTCTCACTCCCAGTCTCTTCATTGCTTAGCCTCTTCTATAATCTTCTTATGGATTTTTTTTTTAATCTTATATCCCTTAAGGTTTCTACACAGTTCTTCCAGGAACTCAGTGATTACAAAGATACTTAGCTTAATCATTTTTCAAGCCTTGCTCTAGTACAACTACTCCATATCAATTTACATTAGCCTGTGTCAAGTCTTTTTTCATCCCCAAAATTGTCGCTTTGGTTTTTATTTTCTGTCGTGTCTGTATAGTGTCTTGATGGTTATATAATCATGGTTTATGTAAGTCTTGTATTGTGCCCATACCCACCAAGAATGTATGTGCCTTGATGTTGGTATGGACTCTTTATTTGCATTTTATAACCTTCGCGTTATAGATTGTAGGATTCTTGTCACCGAGACAGTACTCACTAAATATATTATAATATGAGAAATGAAGGAAAAGGTATGACGGAAAGAAGGGAATGATATGGGCACACACATCTTTAAGGCTAGCAATAATACCTACTCCACTGAGTCATTCTCTGGTTTAAAAAAAATTATATTAATTTAGTGAATTTTTACAGAACAGGACTACAAACATCCTACTTACGTGGTACTGTAACTCACCCCCAAAACTATTTCAGGTTGGTTTTGTATATTCTGTTTTAGACTTTAGGAGGAGAGGGAAAGGGAGAATAAAGAGACAGCAGGAAGACTAGAGGACTATAATGTAAAGAGAAGGCTTGATTCTAGACTGATTTGGGTTATATCTCCTAGGGAACCCTCATGCGCCTTATTGCTCTCTTTAATTCTGGCTCTGCCTCCATTTATTTAAGTATCTCTCCATGTTCCAATTAGGTAGAATTACCATATTTTCCTAAGGAGAAAATGAAATTGAGATTATCACATTTTTGGGCAGTTATTAATCTAGTATCCTTTACTTTCATATCACTCTTTTTGCCTTGTTTCCCCTTTTGATGAGCCGGTTAGATAGGCGGGTTGATCATGTTCCTTGTGCTTTCAGTAGCCAGCAGGCCCTACTAAATCAATATTAACAAAAGGGGGTTCTGGCTCCTCCCATCTAATTTGCATGCCGACAGCCTCCTGCAGCCGTCTTTGCCTGTTAATGCAGGGGAACTGACTGACTGGGAGAGAGTATCCTAGAGAAGTAGGGGAAAATGGCTGCTGAAGAATTACTTAAACATACACAGAATATTGTACAAAATGATCACTCATAAAGATATTGTTTATAGTATCCTGATTTCTAGTATTTGTTTACCTTATCCTTTAAAAATATGCTTTAAAAGATATTTTTTGCTTTCTTGTACAGATTTCAAGTGAAGTTTTTCTACATATCACAGTTGGCTTACTGGTTTCATGCTTTCCCTGAACTCTACTTCCAGAAAACCAAAAAAGTAAGCTGGGATTTTATAGTTTTAAAAATTGTCTTTTTTTTTTTTTGAAAAGTCTTCCTAAAATTAAGTATTTTCTTATGTTTTTGCCCTTACTCAACTCTTCCCCTGTCATTCTCCTGCTTCCCCCCTTTCCACAAAGACTAAAATCAATTTCTTAAAACAAACTTCAGTCATTATTTTAACTTAGGGATCTTTTACCTTTGACATGTTAATTGCTCATTTTAAAATTATATTAGTAATTTAAGCTAAATTAAAATTTAAGCAAATTTTTAAATGTGATATTAATGTCATCTTATTGATATTCTTAGGGATTTATTTCATGAGACAAAAAGGGTTAGTAAGATTTTCTGTAGCTATTAATTCTGTGTATGAGTCCCAAAGAAAAATTCAGTATTGAGAAAAAACAAGTAAACCATGGTTAAATATTCACCAGAGAAGCCTTTCCTGAAATGGGTGGAGCATTCCCTTTTTAGCATGTGGGAAAGATGTTTGTTTAAACAAGCAGACTACTGGGGCACTGCAGTAACCTCCTTTCTGCTTTTACCCTCTACTTCTGAAACCAGGTTCCCATGGTATCACAAGTCAACTTTATTTCCTTTAGTTAGCTCTTCTCCCCTGAAACCTGTACTAGTTCCTTACTGCTTTAAAGTAAAGCAAAGCTACATTCCTGTGTTCTAAAGGTCTCTCTTCTGCACTACCTCTTCCCTGGCCTCTCTTCTGCAGCTTTATTCACACTGTATTCACTATAATCCCAACACATCAGTTCTTTTTTCCTAGAATACCTTTTCCCTCTGATAAATTAAGCACTTTTATTGCCTTTTTTTGGGAGGTTTTTTTTTTTAATCTCCATATATGATATGTTATGTGAGATTTACTCCAGAATAATACCTGATGAAGGTAAGTAAGCAAGTAGGGATATACATGAAAGAAGCTCAGTTATTTATTAATAACTGTTAAGACCGGGTTATGGATATATAGGGATTCATTTTATTCCCTGTCAGGGGTGCATAAGAGTGTGTAATGTTGGGCCGGGGATTTAGCTCAGTGGCACCGCACCTGCTTCAAAAGCGCAAGGTCCTGAGTTTGATCCCCAATACCAAAAAAAAACAGTGTGTGTATGTTTGTTTGTACACATAGATATATACACACATACATTGTTCTTCATTTTAAAATGTTTTTTCTTTGCCCCCTTACTTTAAGAAGCCTCCCTAAGTAGAATTATGACAGTGACAGTGTATGTCTCTATCCTCCCCAAAGCCACTTGCTTTTGTATGTACTATAAATAACTGATTTGTGGTATAGGCCCATTTGTCTGTGTTTTATGTGTTGTGTCTTTCATTGTCTCCTGGGACTAGAAAAGAGCACCAAATTAGAGTCCATGTGCTATGGCATACTAGTTCTTGTGATGGTGATTTTTTTAAAAAGTAGAATGTTTTTCCATTTAATTTGATTGTAAGGATTTAGGATTAAAGTCTTTATTTATTTTTAAACATTTGACCTCAAACTACCCTAAGATAAAATTATTATACCCATTTTCCAGGAGCCTTTCCATATTTAGTAAACTCCTAATGTGAGGCATAGGTGATTGAGAGCTGTACTGTCCAAATGGTAGTAGCCACTAGCATGTCTAAATTAAATTTAAAAACACGGTTCCTTCACTCACACTAGCCATATTTCAAATACCCATTAGCTATCTGTGAGTAGTATCTACCATTTCTGATAGAAGAAATAAGAAATATGGAGTATTTCTGTGATTATAGAAAGGTCTGTCAGGCATGTCTTAATATGATGGCTCAAATATTTTAAGTTTTGTATACCATTTGGGCAAAATATATCTGGGTTTCATTATTAATCTATGTCTATATCTTGTTCATTGACTCTGATAAGTAAAGAGGGACATTTCAAAGTAATTGTTCATTTTAGTTCCTAAAGCTTCTTTCTTCTCAGTTCCTGCCAGATGGCATTTCTCCAGAAATGCAATCTAATTTTTATGGAATAATTTGCATAACTTAGAACTTAACTGAAACTATTTTTAACACCTACATGTGACAGTTGAAAGTAACTGTTTCAAGTAATTAACATAATTTGAAAGTAACAGCTGCATATGTGTTAAACAGTTTCTTAAAATTTACTCTATGAAAATTATTTTTGGAAGAACTCTTTACTGGAAGAAATTAGTACAGTGATTGTTTTGAACCAATCCTTCAGACAAATGAAGAAAGAAAAAGAACACTATTAGTAGCAGTTCAAGAAGTGTGTTAGTAGCAAATAACTTAGTTTCTCTATGGAGGAAATTTAAATCATATATACTATATACCCTTTAAGATAAACAGTTCTTCATTTTACCCTGATAAGATTTTACCCCTGATAAGATTAGCTGGGCATGGTGACACAACACCTGTGGTCCCGGCTACTTGGGAGGCTGACATGAGAGGATCACTTGAGCTCAGGAGTTCAAGACCAGATCAAAAAAATAAATAAATAAAATAAAATTGTTTCTCAGCCAACTTAACATATGAGTTTTTGGGATAGTCATGAAATTATTAACATTCCTAATACTCAGTTTTACTTTGATTATACCTACCTACATACATAATTGACTTGATTATACATAATTGTATGTCAAGAGATATTAAATTAGAAATGGGTTTTTTTCCATTTTTCGTGAAAGTTGTGATCCACTTTTCATATGCAACTTTGGATCTTTGCCTTATATTTCAGTATATTTGTGATAGTTTGTTTTTTAGTGTAGTACTGTCAAGAAATGTATTTACTTATAAAAACAAATTTATCAACATATGTCATTATCCTTTTTAATGAAAAATGTTGGAATGTTACTTGAAGTTACTTATAATTTTAGAATTTATAATGTAAATGTGTTATACTTATTAGATTTCCATGAAAATTGAGATCCAGATTTTAAGTCATTTCATGATTTGATCCTTGTACAAGTTGCTTGACTATCAGCATTAAGAATATGTGAGAGGGCTGGGGATTTAGCTCAGTGGTTTCGCTGCCTGCTGTGCAAGTGCAAGGACCAGAGTTCGATCCCCGGTACCAAAAAAAAAAAAAAAAAGAATATGTAAGAACTCAGGAGGTGGCACCTGCCAGTAATCACTGCATTCTGGGAGACTAAAGCAGGATGATCAGAAGTTCCAGCCTAGACTAGGCAACTTGGTGACATAGGAAGACCCTATCTTAAAGTATAAAATTTAAAAAGGGATAGCGTTGCAGCTAAGTGTGAAGAACCCAAGTTCATTTCCTAGTACCACACACAGATTAAAAATTTTTTTTTCTAATACTTCATTTCCATTGTATGTATTTTTCCATTTAAGTATTAAACTATTATTAATCTTCAATAAGTAAACAAAACCTCAAACTGGGTTTTCTGGTAGAAAAAGTTAATTTATGTAACAGAAGCATAGGATGTGGCTGGGGATTTAGCTGAGTGGTTGTGTGCCACCTGCGTCGCAAGCAAAAGGACCCGAGTTCGATCACTGGTACCAAAAAAAAAAAGCATAAGATGACATATAAAAATGTTTTCAGAAACAAAATAGCTTTTTGTTAGTCACTTTTATGGCATCTAGACTATAATTGCTAGAGCAGTGATAAGCCACTCATGGATGGCTTGCAAGCTTCCTAATTAGAACCTGCAGTATGTCCAATGAATAAATCTTGGGAGCTCCCTCTGCAAGGGCCAGACTTAACCAGCCTCCTTGGTGTTCTCCCATTTGCCATGTACCATATGTGTGTGTGCTCCAGTGACCATGGTGCTAGGTGAGGCCTTTTGTTGGTCTCAGATGTGTGAGCAAGGGAGCCAGAGAGTGTTGGGGGAGTTTGGCCGGAGACATTGGTACTAAACACAGCTATTTTCTAGATAAAATTTCGCATTTTAAAAATCATGGTATACTACCTCTACTGTTGCGTTTTCATGCATTTTTCTAGAGTGCGTATTCTCCAGTTAGCCACAATCCCTACCACTCCTCTTGTGGTATTTTAATTTTTCTGTGGTAGGTTTTGAGTATACAAATATTGCTTTTGAGACACTGGTCAATTTGTATGCAGCTGAAGGGACCATTACTTAGGAAAATGTTTCTTGATACTTTAGTCCTTTTGAAAGCTGTAGATGCTATTTCAAAAGCTTAGATATTTGATCATTTTAAGGGTAGAATCTGGTGATGGCATTTTACCCTCTGTCATAATCAACTCCATTGACTGACTACCAGAAAGGCAGGGCTGAAATGCAAAGTTGAATCTGAATTTAGGAAAGAAGCGACAGGGATTTTTTTCTTAGCTAGTGCCAAGCACAGCCTTGACCCATCTAATGGAGTTGAGATTTAAAGACAAGAGATTAGACAAATGGAATGGTTTTCTGAAATGAAATTTGTAATTTTTAGATTTTTCAGAGAAGAAAAAGACAGCTTAGGTTCTTTGATAAATGACCAATGTGTATTTTTAAACTTGGATTTCTTAAAAATTAATTTTTAAAAATATTCCTAATAAGTTTACAGATCTGTAAAACAGTTTTTACAGCATATTAGTTTTTTTGCATTGACTTACACAAATTTCTGGGTAATGAAATGAGTTCATTCAGCAGTTAAAAGCTAAAACCTCCCTTTATAAATATTGAGGGTCCCCTTGGTCTGCTTTTTCATCAGAACTTTGAAGCATTAACATCTTCAATGAACATGGCAGAGATTCCTATACTTATTTACGTGCCACCTTCCTGTTTTACCATATTTACATACTACGAGCTTGTACTTCTGACTGTATCCTAATTCTGTGCAGTATTATTCATGGAATTTTAATAAGATGTATTCAACTTAACGTATTTAAAATTTTTAAAAGTGTTTTATTGGGCCAGAGATTTAGCTCAGTGGTTCCGCTGCCTGCCTTGCAAGCGGCAAAGACCCGAGTTCAATCCCCAGTACCAAAAAAAAGGTGTTTTATTGTATACTAAAATCATTTTGCACTATACCACTGATAAACTATACTTTGGGAAACACTGATATTCCATATGTATAGTGGCGACTTTATATCTATAGCATATCCAGTTGTTTCAGTAACACCACACATGAACTCCACTGAAATGGTTGTAACAAGAGAAGAGAGAGGCTCCCCTGTGGTTCGCTTTAGCATGTTATCTCAGCACCTTTCTCCTCCTTTCCCTTTGCGAGGAAACATATCTCATTGGAACTCTGAGAACTGTGTGGAAAGGATCTTAAGACCACGTATTTTTAGAGATATTTTTCCGGTGGTTAGAACCATTATAAACTTACTATTATATCTTGGAGATTTTCCTGAGAGTCTCAAAATACAGTCAGACTATCTTACGTTCTACCTAATACTTATTTTTTGTAGCATTCTTACCAAAGAAGTGTTTTCAGTTTTAAAACTTGACTTGTAAAATCTCTCCTCTTTCTCAGAAGATTTGGGGAAGTAGTCACCACTAAAATATAAAGGGAGAAATAGAGCAGCAGTAGAGTCCTAGAAGCAGGACACCGTGTAATGAGGTTCCGAGAAACACAGTTCACTTTGCCAGCATCACCCCACCATGTTCATCATTTTAATTAGTAAGTGTACTACCTGAGTAGTACTAACCAGGCTAATGCTAAGTGTTATAAATAAATAATACATATGAGGAAAACAGCCCAAACCAGACAGCAGAAGTGACAGAGAGGCTCTCCCTCAGTCACCAAGCACTCTCTGAGCTTATTTAAAGCAAGATTCACCTCATAATTCACTGTGTATAAAATGTAGAATTTCATAATAAAATTTACTCTACACACTGGCTTTTTAAAATTCTATTTTCATATATATATATATATTTGTTGTTGTTATTGTTTGTTTGTGGGGGTTTTTTGGTACCAGGGATCGAATTCAGGACCTTGTGCTTGCAAAGCAGGCACAGTGCCACTGAGCTAAATCTCCAGCCCCTGTTTTCATATTTTAAAAGATGCTAAAGTGACCCCCTAAATTGATTTCACAGTCCACTAGTAGGTCTTGACTTACATTTTTTTTTCTCAAATTTTTTTATTGGTACATTTTAGGTATACAATACATTTACATTCATTATTGGGAACTTGTACCTTTACATGATGTATCTTGGTTCTTATTTTTTCCCCATTCCCCTCCACTCCCTTCACCTCCTCCACCCCTCCCTATTTGCAAAGGCTTTATTTCCATTTATTTTCTTCTTGGGTTTTTTTTTGGTACCGGGGATCGAACTCGGGACCTTGCGCTTGTGAGGCAGGCGCTGGAACCACTGAGCTAAATCCCCAGCCCTATAGTACAATTTTCACTCTACCACATTGCTCTTAAAGAACAGAAATGTTCTCAGGAGGCTGAGGCAGGAGGATCACAGCAAGTTCACCTAGACTATGTGGCAAGACTCTGTCTCAAAAAACCAGAAATGTTGCGTAAAATAAAGGGCTAGTGAAGTAGCTCAGTGATAGAACACTTGCCTAACATGCACAAAACCCTAGTTCAGTCCTTACTACGGTTTTTAAAAAAAGGTGGGAATGTAGCTCACTCACTGGTAGAGTGTTTATCAAGTCTGGGCAAGGTTCTGGGTTCAATCTCCAGTACCACCAAAAAAAGTGTTTCACCATGTTTTAATCTGTATTTTTCTGTTTGTAGGAAGATATTCCTCGTCAGCTTGTCTACATTGGTCTTTACCTCTTTCACATTGCTGGAGCTTATCTTTTGAAGTGAGTTGGGATTTTGCTTGGGTGTGTAAGTAGACAGGGCAGATAGTATGCTGGTTTAATTGATAATTAATCTTTCCATTTGGAATGTGTTCTTTCAACAGCCTGAATCATCTAGGACTTGTTCTTCTGGTGCTGCATTATTTTGTTGAATTTCTTTTCCACATTTCCCGCCTGTTTTATTTTAGTGATGAAAAATATCAGAAAGGGTAAGTTACTGAGTGTGTGTGTGTGTGTGTGTGTAAGTTAAAGACAGTGCCTAGGTTACCGAGCCTCATGCCCTTGGCATTTATATTACTACTCTTTAAACTAATAGCATTACTAAATAAAATGAAACTATTCTACACTTGGCATTTTTATCTCAGTGAAGTCTTTCTCAAATAGATTATTATGTTAGAACTTGACATTTTCAAGGATTTTGGAGTTTACTTTTCCGTAGTGACTTCTACTTTGTTTATTGCATGTTTTCCTTTTGGGGAAAGGAGCGATAGAGAAATAAACTTTCAGAAGGAAATGAAAATAGATAAGATAGCCTTAAAAATTCGAAAAGATATTCATGGGAAAGTTGGCCTCAAATCAAATTGGAGAGGTATAACTTGTAAAGAGTGTAAAGTCTTTGAAAAAGAAAAACCTAAAACTAGGACTCTGAGATGGGAATTTGATGTCCTGTTCTTTATACCACAGTTTTTGTTTTGTCTGGCATTTTTCAAAATTATTCTGCATATTACTTGTGAGAAATGTTAGTATTACTTATACAAAAAAAGAGATAACTACATACCAGCTCCCCATGATGAATACAAATTATGTACTATAAACATGTACTCATGAAAATATTTTTAAAAGACAGCTAAACAAAAATATTACACAGATTTTTCTACTAGATTCTTAGAACCTTAAATAGGTTAATATGTGTTATTTTTTTCTTTCTTAAGAGTGTGATATGTTGCATTTCCAGACACAACTTCAGGAGAATTTGCTTCTTTGAAGAAGAATAAATGTTGTTTTGAAATGCATTTACTTGGGCCGGGGATTTAGCTCAGTGGTTCCACCACCTGCCTCAGAAGCGCAAGGTCCTGAGTTTGATCCCTGGTACCAAAAAAATAAAATAAAATGCATTTCCTTGATTGGAATCTAATTTCTAATAAAATATTTCATTGCTTGGTGGTATTATGAGTTTGACTCAATGATATTTTTCTTGCAGATTTTCTCTGTGGGCAGTTCTTTTTGTTTTGGGAAGACTTCTGACTTTAATTCTTTCAGTACTCACTGTTGGTTTTGGCCTTGCAAGAGCAGAGAATCAAAAGCTGGATTTCAGTACTGGAAATTTCAACGTGTTGGCTGTTAGGTACAGTCAATTTAACATTTTCATTTTGTACCACTTTATAATATATGTTACCAGTTTTATTTCTAAATTGAAATACTAAACTGAAGCCTTTAGCTTCTAGGATGAATTATTAGTGGAATGAATATTAAAATAATCTTATCAACAGAATGAAAATTATAGCATTAAATTATTATCAAAGCAGAGTATATTATTTTCATTCAATGGCGTTATTTTCATATGCTGATTTTTTTTATTAATATTTTCCAGAATTGCTGTTCTGGCATCCATTTGTATTACTCAAGCATTCATGATGTGGAAGTTTATTAATTTCCAGCTTCGAAGGTGGAGGGAACACTCTACTTTTCAGGCACCACCTGTAAGGAGGAAACTACCAGTGACTAAAGGCAGCCGGTTTTCTAGAAAAGGAACAGGTTCGTATTCGCTAGGCAGTGAAAAACTTACGGAAGTAAAAAAAATTTTTAAAATTTGTAACGGATCTTACTTTCAAATGTTATAAAGAAAACTGATTCTAGTCTTTATAAAAGGGGAGGAAAAGTATGCTTCTTCTGTTGTATAGTTAAGTGATTCTCTGAGTGAGGAGAGTCAGTTACACCCCTCAAAGGCTGTCAACTACGTTTTCCTTTCACAAGTTTTCCACTATTGTTACTTTGAGCCACTGTAGACCAGTGTCTGTGGGCACTTCTGGTACGCAACTGCTAAGCAAGAGTGAGGTGTTTCTGGAAGTTATCAAGCTTCTTGTTCCCCTTTTTTTGTTTTGTTTTGTTTTCATTGTTGTTTGAGACAAGGTCTGGGCTGTGTAGTTTAGGCTGCTGTTGAACTCACTGTGTACCCCAGGCTAGCCCTGGTGATCCTCCTGCTTCAGCTTCTCAAGAGCTGGGACTACAGGTATGCGCCACCATGGCTGGCTTTGTTCACATTTTAAAAATTTCTACAGCCCCTTCCCATCTGCCTTTTAGTCCCAAGTGGAACGACATTTTTTATAACTTCTGATTGCTTGATGCTTTGTCTCTGAGCCTGCATTTAACTTTTCTCTTGGCTTTTGAATGAAAATACCTTGACATTGCAGATAATATTTCCAATGTGTATGTGGTGTTATACTTGGAACTGTAACACGGGGAGTGCCAGTTTAAAAATAAATCATCTCTGTACTGCTTTTTGTAAGTCTTGATATCCGATAGTTTTTGTCTTCCACATTTGTCCCAGCAGTTCTTAGCATGTTGTACTTGGTCAGTTTCCACACAAAAAAATATTTGCTGAGATATTGGATTGAATTACAGTGAATCTATAGATAGTTGGGGATATTAAGTGTTTATTAAACAGCTTCATTGGGATTCACTCTTGAAAGAATACATTTCATTCTTTTTTACATAACATTCACCAAGTTGTGTGAATCACTGATGCCAGGACATTTTTATCACCCCCAGAAAGAATCCTTGTGGTCATTAGCGGTCTCTTTCTATTCCCCTTGTCCCTGGCAACCACTGGTCTATTTTGTGTCTCTACGGACTGGCTTTTTCTGGACAATTGATATAAAAGGAGCCATGTAATATGTGGTCTTGTGACTGGGTTCCTTGTCTTAGCTTTGCTTTTTTTTTTTTTCTTCTGTACTGGGCATCAAACTCAGGACCTTGCACTTGCCAGGCAGGCACAATGCCACTGAGCTAAATCCCCAGCCCAATTTAGCATATTTTTGAGGTTCATCATAGCATGCATCAATATTTCATTCCTTTTTATGACCAAATATTCCACTGTATGGCTGTATCACATTGTACTTACTCATTCATCAGTTGATGGACATTTGGGTTGATTCCAGTTTTTGTCCATTATGGGAATACGAAAATTCACATATAAGCTTTTGTTTGCACATTCATTATCATATTCTTTTTTGAGGGTATGTACCTACTGGTGGAGTTGTTGGATCATATGGTAACTATGTTTAACATTTGGAGGGAAATACCAAGCTGTCTTCCGAAGTGGCTGTGCCATTTTATAGTTTCGCAGGTTGATACTCAGTTGCTCACGTGCCATTTGTTGAAAAGACTAACCTTACTCTAAATTGTCTCACTACCATTATCAAAAGTCATGGCATGAGTTTAACTCTATATTCTGAATTTGGTTCATTTATTTGTATCTGTTCCTATACCAGTATCACACTGTCTTGGTTTCTGTAGCTTTTAAGTTTTGAAATCAGGAAATGTGAGTCCTCCAGTTTTGTTCTTTTTCACGCTTTGGTTGTTCTAGGTGTCTTGTATTTCCATATGGATTTTAGGATCAGCGTTTTGGTTTCAGCAAAAAAGCCAGTTGGAGGGTTTTGATATGGATTGCCTTTGTCTTTAGATTGCCTAGGGGAGAGTGTGAACACGAGTATCTTTTCATTTATGTTGCTCTTTAATTTCTTTCAGTTAATCTTCATAGTTATCAATCCGTAAATCTTGTACTTCTTTCATTAAATTTATTCCTAAATACATTATTCTTTTTGATGTTATTATAAAATAAAATCCTCTTCATTTTCAGATTGCTCATTGCTAGCATATAGAAATTGAATTGCTTTATATATTGTTCTGGTAGCTTCTGACTTTCCTGACTGACTTATTCTAGTGCTGTTTTAATATATGTGGATTCCTGTGAATTTTCAGTATACATGGATCATACATAAATAAAAATAATTTCCACTTCTTCATTTCCAACTTGGATGCTTTCTACCATTGCATTTTCTTGCCAAATTACCTTGACTAGAACCTCCAGAATGGTGTTGAGTAGAAATATCCTTGTTTTGTTCCTGATCTTAGGGAGTCAACATCTGATCTTACCATTAAATATGATGTTAGCTATGTGTTTCGTCAGGAAGAGAAATCATCTTTCTGTTCCTCATTTGTTTGTAATTATGTGTTTGTGGGCGTGCACGTGTGCTGGGATGATTCTGTGGCAGGTTGCTTTTTTTTTTTTGGTACCTGGGATCAAACTTAGGTCCTTACACTTGTGAGGCAGACAGCAGCACCACTGAGCTAAATCCCCTGCCCAGGTTGGGGGGTTGCTTTTTTGTTTGTTCGCTTTTGTGAATCTAGGATCAAACTCCACACATTAGGCAAGTGATCTGCCACTGAGCTACTCTCCTAGCCCTGTTTGTGTTTTTATCATGAAAAGTTAATTGATTTTGTCAGTTGTTTTTTCTGCATCTGAGATGATCTTGTGGATTTTACTCTTTTTCTGTTGATATTATAGATTACATTTATTATTTTTAAGATAATAGACTAACATTGCATTCCTGAAATAAATCCCACTTGGTCATGGTATATACCTGCTTTTATATTTCAGGATTTGGTTTGCTTGGATTTTGTTGAGGACTTTTATGTGTGTATTAAAGGGTATTGCATGTATTTTCTGTTGCAATGTCTTTGTCTGGTTTGGATATCAAGGTAATATTGGCCTCGTAGAAGGACCTAGAGCAGTGGTTGTGAACCTTTTATAGCTTTCAATCATAACAAACAGCCCAGTACAGCACATGTACCATAGGTTCGCCACCACTGACCTTAGGTGTATTTCCTCCTTTTCTTTTTTTTTGGAAGAATTCTTGGATGCCTTATTTTATAGGTTTATGTATAGGGATCTCATATATGTTTTATTAGATTTCTTCTAAGGCATCTTTTTTTTAAAGCTAGTGTATGTGCTTTTTTAAAAAGTTTTAGTTATTTGTTATACTTGTATAGAAATGCCATTGGTTTTCTTTAAGATACATACTCATATTAAGGAACCTTCTTAATTTATTTAAAATTTACACTCAAATATCCAATCATATTTTCTCCAGTATTATACCTTTTCTTTTCCTTGCTACATTATACTATTAGCTAGGACCACACCATAATATTATCTAAGTAAATGGGATCTCCTTGTCTTGTTTATCATATCAAGGAGAGACCTTTCACTATTTGACCATTAAGAAAATTTTGGGCTAGGGGATGTGGCTTAGTGTTAGAGTGCTTGCCCTAACCATGTGAAAGGTCCTGGATTCAATCCCCAGTATCAACCCCCAAAAAAGTGTTTTATAAATACCTTTTATTCTGTTATAGAAGTTCTCTTTTGTGCTTTATTCACTAGAAGTTTTCGTCATAACTGGATGTTAAGATTTTTCTCCCCCAGTTCTAGGGGTTGAGCCCCAAGCCTCACACATGCTTGGCAAGCACTCTACCTCCTCAGGACTTTTTTTTAAGATAGGGTCTCTTTAAGTTTCCCTTGCTGCCCTCATATACACAGTTGCAGTCCCAGCACTCTAGAAGACTTAGGCAGGAGGACTACAAGAGTAAGCCCAGCCTGGGGAACTCAGCAAGACCCTTTCTCAGAAATAAAACAAGGGCTAGAGATGTAGCTCAGTATGCAGGCCCTGAAATATTTTCTTAGGATTCATGCATCTATATTCATGTGAAACATTGGCCTGGAATTAGCTTGATTTTTTACTTATTGTCTGTCTTTTGGTAAATTGTATTTTTTCAAGGAATTCATCTATTTTGTATAAATTTATGAATTTATTGGCCTAAAACTATTCACATCTTCCTGTCACTAACACTTGTAGATCAGCAGTGATTTCTGCTTCCATTTCCTATGCTAGTAACTTAGGCCTCTCATCTTTTGTTCCTTCATCAGCCAAAACTGCCACTCTAGGGGTGGCATGCAACTCAGCGGTAGACTGCCTAAGCATGTGTGAGCCCCTGGTCTAATCCCAACACTGCAAAAACAAAGAAAACCTAACATTTATCTTTTTTGTTGTTGCTTTTATTAGTTGTATCTTTTCTGTAGAATTGATTTCTATTTTTTCCCTTTCTCTGGATTTAATTTGCTGTGTTTTTATTTGTTATTTATCTTTGAGATGATTTTTAGACCATTGCTAGGCCTTGAAAGCAGATTTTTATCTCCCTGTCAGTATGAGACTTCCAGTTCTGTTTAGCTTTGTAGTTTCTTAAGAATTGTTTCCTGTGTGATTTCTGTCATCCATGGTACATACAGTTTAATATTGGCAAACATGTTGAGGGAGAAATACACACAGAATATTGGTTCTTTGCCTTAAAGTTTGGCCACTTGCTCTGCCTGAACTCAACCCTAGACTATTCCTCTATTGTGCTCTCTGCCTCAGTTTCTGAATCTACAAATGTAGGTCATCAAGTGTTTGGATTACTTCAAGAAAGTAGTGATTAATGCAGTCACCTTGGTTCATTTCCTTTCCTTCTAGAACCTTGACACATCAAGTCCTGTCTGCCTTCTTGTTTTCCAGAGCTATGAAACACCCATTTTTATTTTCAATTTTTATGGCTATTTTTGGAGGGAGAACTAGTCAGACATTAGTTACTATTTATTGGCTATAAGTAGGAGGGCATGATCCAGGCACAGTGGCACACTCCTGTACTCTGAGCACTGAGGGATGTGAGGCAGGAGGATCATAAGTTCAAGTCCCATCTGGGCAATTTAATGAGACCCTGACTCGAAATTAAAAAGCAGAAAGGACTGGGGATGTAGCTCAGTGATAGAGCACCCCTGGGTTTGATTGCCTAGAACTGCAAAAAAAAAAAAACCATGGTTTACTCTTAAACATCATCTTAAATCGCGTTTTTTTTAAATATGCTGTAAAGAAATGTCTCATCCAAGGACTTTGCTGTCACACTTAAAAAGAGATTTTTTTGTTTCTACCAAGACTACTCTTCGTTTTTTAAATTCTTGGGTTTTTGTTGTTGTTTGTTTTTTCTTTATTTCTTTGTTTGTTTTGAGACAGGGTCTCACTATGTAGCCCAGGCTGGCCTTGAACTTGAAGTGATCCTCCTGCCTCAGCCTGCTGGAATTACAGGCATGCACCACCATGCTTGTCTTATAATTTCTTTAAATAATTTTCTATTGTATCACTCTTTTCTACTTTCAGTAGTAGTTGCTGGTTTTTGCAGATGTGGGGGGAGGGGGGTGCCGGGGTTCAAACTCAGGACCTTGCGCTTTCAAGGCAGGCAATGGAACCACTGAGCTAAATCCCCGGCCCAGTAGTTGCTGTTTTTTAACTTGCTGCTTTCAATTCATCATGTTCAGCATTTACGAGGTTTTATGATTGATTAAATCTGAGTAAATTTAATAAGTTTTACTTGACTATATACTGGACTTCAAATTTTCTTTTCTGAAGGTACCTTTATGTATAAAAATTATTACCTGCATTTACTTATGAGAATAACACTGATAATTTTCTTTTTAGAAAATGGTGTAAATGGAGCAGTGACATCAAATGGAGCAGACTCTCCCCGTAATAGAAAAGAAAAATCTACATAATGGATTAGAAACTAAATGATCGATGTCCCCAAAGAAATCTGCTTTTTACTATATCTTTCAGCACTAGAGATTTTTCTGTTCTTGAAAAATACAGTTTCTGCTCTTTGATTCTTGCTGTTGTACTGTTTCATGCATTTTTTTAAAAGGGCATTTGAGGGGAGGATGATTACTATGAGTGAAAAAATATTTTAGCTTAGACTAAGCTACCTGCCTTCAAAACAGTTTAGGGACCACCACATGTTTTATTTTGTTTTTTAATCTTCAAACATTTTTCTAATGATTTGGAGGAGATAAAAAAATACTATTTGCAGAAATCCCACATATCAGTGAAACAGTTTCTTGCACTCACCAATTTTTTACATTGGCAAAGTGACCTGTTCCAACAAGGTCATATTTTTTAAGTTATCTTTCAGGGTAAAATGGAAATACTATAAAGTCAGATGTCAAACTTTAATATGTTTTCAGTGTTCTGTATTTTAGGAATTTTTGTAGCCTTTACACCTGGAAAAAGCAATTTGTAAAATCACCAAAATAATTGTGTGCTTTATTTTATACATAGTGATTGTTAGTGTTAATCTCCCATTAAAAAAAATACATGCTAATGGTTACAACATGTGAAGATTTATCGCCATATATAGAGGATCAAATTATCTTAACATAAAAGTACTTGTGAAGTGAAATCTTGTGCATTTTCAATACTTACCAACTGGTAATCACAAAATATTTACTATGAAAAGGAAAATCCAACTTTTTGATATATTTATTAATAATGATTCTTACTGGGGGCTTATCATAAGTTTGATATGCACAGCATCTTAGTATCGTGCACACCCTTTTAAAAGACAATGCCTAGAGCCGGGGATTTAGCTCAGTGGTTTTGCTGCCTGCTGCGCAAGTGCAAGGACCCGAGTTTGATCCCTGGTGCCAAAAAAAAAAAAAAAAAAATTAAAAGACAATGCCTATTTGATTTATATCTATAAAAAGATGTCAGGTAATTATATTTGGAAAACTAATGCACTAACTTTAAAGAAATTGAAAATTCAGGTGGATAGTCTTACAAAAGACTGCTTTATGTTATAACTATAGCTTTGGTCCCATCTTTAATTGAGAAACATTTATCTGTATAAAACATATTTTTGGATAAATATATATATATATTTGTATCTCTACAAGAAAGGCTCTAAAAAACATTTGAGTAAAATATTTGGTTCCCTTTTCTATAATTATCCTTTAAACCCCTTGTAGATATATTTGGTTTGTCTGTCTTTATAGTATATATAGTGCACCTTTTGGTGTTCATGTCTTGTTCCCCCTTTCTCACTTCTGTCACCAGCTAATACATGTTCGTGCCATTTTTAGTGTAAAAGTTACAGATCTATCAGGTCTGTGGTTTAAGTTGCCATGCTGCTAGAAAGTGCTTTCTCTTTCCAGCTGTTTACCTCTTCCTGGAAAAAGTAGTAGCTCTCTGTAGCATTATGGAGTTTCAGTGGAACCAAATTTTTGCCATTAAAAACTGGCATTATATTGAACTATACATTGAGAAATCAGAATAAAAATTTTTACTTTCACAAATTGCTTCCTGGATGAGTCCTTTATTAGTATTTATGCACTTTTCAGTGTATGATCTCATTAAAATGTCTCATTAGAAAAAGATTATTAGTTCCATAGAATATGTATGAGCACTCCTGAGGGAGAAATAGTTGGTAATGAAATAAATTTGGGGACCATTGGATTAAGGTATTTCTTTACTGCAGTACTGTCCAATTTTTAATATGCCAGCATGCTTCCTAGTACTCCAGAAATGTTGGTGATGGGTGGTATAGTAGGGTTTCCCACCTCATTTGACTGTGGAATCCTTTTTTCATTGAATTACTTAACAGCACTTGTGTTCTACAGCATACACTGTGGGTTTAGGAAAAAGGGAAAAAAATCCCTTTGTATGTAATAAGAACTTACGAAGCACACACATACACACAACTATAATTGTAAATTATGAGCCTGGGCCCCAAATCAACTCAAGAAAGTCTTTCCTTACAGCTTCCAGATCCTGTAGTGGTCATGATCGCCTACACTCAAAACTTTAGAACCTGATTGGAAGCATGTAGGTCTGTGAACCAGGACAGCTGTTCTCTGCTCTGTGTTAGATGCTTAGTGACCTTGAGCTATTTGTTTTGCCATTCCGAGGTTTTGTCTTGCCCTCTAAAATGCTTTCTCTGCCTGCATTTTAGAATATGATTGAGAATAGTCCAGGTAGATTATTCTGGAACAAAGATGTTAACTGCATCCTTCTAAAACAGTCTTAACGGTCTTTAAATTCAAAATTAACCTTAGAGCAAATTTTGTGTAGGTGAAAAAGTGGTAGAGAAAATTTTTGTTACAAAGATGTGATTAGCAATAGCCCAATAACACCCTGTATCTCCATAGTGTTACCAGATGTTTTCACTGAAACTAGTTTTGTTAATTGTCCTCATATGGACAATGAAAATTGTTAGAAATAATAACAATACTGATCATTTTTTTGCATCTTTGAATGGCTTTTAAAGTAATCTGGAGAAAATTGTAGGGAATAGTGCTTAAACATGTCACCCTAGATGTGCTGGATGATTAAAAAATTACTATAAATTTCAACACAAGTTTGGAAATTTCAAAGTATACATTGACAAACAGGAAGAGAAATTAAGACTAAACACTCAGGGCCTGAGGAGAGTGAATGGGGTTGTGGTCCCTACATAATATAGAAACACTCTGAGTATATAATATCACTCATGGCACTAGAATAAAACAAGAGGCCAAAGGACAAACTCTTAAAAGTGCTTTGTTGGTCTGGTTAGTAGAGTGTCCTAAGGCTGTTAACTATTTACAGAAGGCAACATACCTACAGGGCTTAGCTCCCTTTTGGGCAGACAATATATTGAGAAATTAGTTCTATGTTTAAGCATGAATTGCTTTATAAAAAGTTGTACTAGATATCTAAGACACATTGACCAGCTTTATTCAATACTCGGAAAAAAAAGGATAAGCCAACTTGCCTGTCTCCAGTGAAAAAATGTATTTGTTCACTAGTAAAACATTTTGGGTGTTCTGAAAACAAGGGAAGAAATGTTGAGAGGCTTAGATCCATTACATAGTCTCATTCATGACTTATGTTAGTAACTTTAATTTTAAGTTGAAGAAATGTGATAAAATTTAGCCAATTCAAGTGATAACCTCAATATCAGTTATCATTTATAGTCAGTGGTAAGATTAGCTAGACAGAGTTCAAACTTTGATTCCACTACTCAGTTCTGCAAATAAATATCTACCACAGTTTCCTGTGCTAAGTATAGATGGTTCCTGACTAAAAATTTTCAACTTTATGATGGCTCAAAATCCTGTGCATACAGCCATTCTGGTTATCACTTTCAATACAGTATTCAATAAGTTACATAAGGATACTCAGACTTTATTATAAAATAGGTTTTGTGTTAGATAATTTTGCCCAGCTGTAGAATAATGGAAATGTCCTGAGCCCATTGAAGGTAGGCTAAGCTAAGCTGTGTTTGTTAGCTTAGGTGCATTAAACGCATTTTTTACTTAAGATATTTCTATTTTTCACTGACATTCACAACAAAGAATAAGTCATAAGTTATTTATAATTAGGTCAGAAGGCAAAATATTGTTCAGTTCTGTAGGACTAAAGCCTAAAAGACTACCAGGAATACATTAGATTTGTGATTAATCTATATTGTAATGCATTGTTTTAGCTTTCTGTCACTGTGACAAAAGACCTGAGATAAGCAACTTTTAAAAGGGGAACATTTATTTTGGCTCACAGTTTCAGAGGCTTTAGTCCATGGTGACTTGGTTCCGTCACTCTGGGCCTGTGGCAGGGCAGAACATCATGTCAGGGAGTATGCAATAGAACAAAGCTGTTCACTCCTTGACAGGAAGCAAAGAGAACTCTTGGTTTTATAACAAAACCCCTCCCCCAAACCCATTAATCTATGAATCCATAAATGGATTAATCCTTTCATGAGATCAGAGCTGTTATAGCTTGTATCTAGATATCCTCCCAAAGCCTCATGCACTCATAGGTGGGACTTTTAAGAGGTGGCTGCATGTAGGGTGTGTGTGAATATGGATTAAGGACATATAATAACTACATTAGTCCACTGACAGGTTTATCATAGTTCTGGTTGTGGATAATGGGAAGCCCCACCCAGGTTATGGATGGCATCAACCAATAGGCTTATAGCCTGAATGGAATAAAAGGGAAAGCGAGACTTGCTGTTGCTGCTTCACTGCCTCCTTTCTGCCCTGCCATGGACTGTTTCTCTCCTGCCATGCTACCCTGCCTTGGAACCAGCTGACAATGACCTGAAATCTCTAGAAACTATGAGCCTTTCCTCCTTTAACTTGTGGTGTTAGGTATTTTGTCCTAGCAATGAGTGAGTAACTAAGACAAAAGCCCTCATGTTCCTCATCACCTCCCAGAGACCCCCACCTCTGAACACTCCTGCACTGGGGCACTGGTGACCAAACCTTGAACACTTAAGATTTCAGGAGATGAAGATCCAAACTATAACATAGTGGTTGGAAACTGGAAAATTCAAAAGAAAATATGCACAGCTGGGTTCATCTACATCTTCACAGAGAATTTCCATAACTATAATTATTCATTCTCAGGAACTAGAAAATCCAGTTCAAATCTTGAAATAATTTTTTCATTAGCATAGTATGGTGGGGGCTGGGGATTTAGCTCAGTGGTTCCCCCGCCTGCTTTGCAAGTGTAAGGTTCCGAGTTCAATCCCCAGTACCAAAGAAAAAAACAATAGTATGGTGGGTCAGCTGTCTCTGCAGAAACACTAATACAAAGAAAGGCAAAGATGGGAAGATCACCATTTAGTAGAAGAAAATCACTGAAGAAAAATATTCTTCAGTGATACTGACATTTATAGAATACATTTCAAAATATTGGCTGTTACTAAGAAATCTCAGGCTCATCTCATTCTTCCATTATATAGCCTCTTAATTTTGTATGCCCTGTGGGTTTTTTATGAACATTGAAACAATAAACAATTTAAAAAGCAAAGCCATCTTGTGGAATGTGGCTTCAGGTTTAAGTAATCACTGTTCTCCTTGTTTTGCTATGTTTTGAGGAGCACCAACACTGTAATTACAGTCCAGCATCTCTTGTTTAGCAGGAGTTGCCAATCATACCCCATTATATAGTGCTGTAGAGTAAGTGCCATAAGGGGCTGCTACAATCACCACCTCATTTTCCACTCATGCTCCATCTAAATCAGCGCTCCAGTCTCCAGAGGTAGGAGCAGCTGTACTCGCTGTACTCATTAATCCAGCTGCCCTTGACATTTGTCCCCAACCCTGCTTTTTTTGTTTTGTTTTCCTGATGTCACAGATTCTCTACCTTTGGCCTGTGATGTTTCTCAAGTTGATTTTTTCAGCTGTTTCTTATTCAGAATCTTCACTTCCATCTAAAATAATGTTCTGACATTTCACACTGAGGTTCAAATATTCAAAGTGAAGACCTGCACATGACAATGACTCAATGCAATAGCATGGCCGATGTGAGGGACCAAGTTGAAAGGTCCAGAGCTTCAGTCACTGATCTGAAAGTTTAACTTCAAAAATGTTGGAAATTAATTTCTTCTTGATATTTCCAATTGCCTAAAAAACTGAAGTTAGAGCCGGGGATTTAGCTCAGTGGTTCCCAAGTTTGGTCCCTGGTACCGAAAAAAAAAACAACCCTGAAGTTAACAGTTAAACAGGAAATTTTATGCTTATTGATTCTCATTTCAGGAGAGATTAGTTTTAATGGCTTCCTATCCTGAAATGCTCTGACTCCCCCTTAGCACTGCAGATGTTCCTTCTTGACAAAATAGTTCATATTAGTACCCTTGATCTCCATTTTTTCCTGCATGCTTCTTACACCTGAAGGGAGGAAATGAGGAAAGGATTATTGCAGTTTTACAACCTGGTTTATTGCATAGGACCAACCTCCCCTACCTCAGTCCCCAAAATATCCTTCATACCACAGTCTTTATCCTCCATACCCACCCCCATAAGGCACAATTGTCTTAGTCTTGGGCTGCTATATCAAAGTACCATAAACTGGGAGACAACTTACAAACAACAGAAATTTCTTTTCCATACTTTAGGACCCTGCAAAGTCCAAGATCAAGGCACTAGGAGATTTGATGTTTGATGAAGACCTGCTTCCTTCTAGATGTTGCCTTCTTGCTGTGTCCTCACAAACAGGGAGGACCCCAAGGTCCTTTGGGCCTCTTTCATAAGGGCATTAAGCTCTCTATAGAGCCCTTGTGACCTAATCGCCTCCCAAAGGTCCCACCTCATAACATCTCATCTTGAAGGATTTCAGCATATGAAACAAGGGATTGTAGATACATTCAGACCAAAACAACAATCCCACTATATTTTACTGATTTTAAAATACATTTCCCTTACACTCTAGCTTCTCTGAAAAAAAGAATGGGTCTTCAATCAATGGCTCATTTTTCTTAGTGGTACACCAAATATGGATTTTTAAACTGTTATGGTTTGAATGTTTATCT